AGTGTTTTATGATTTCAATATGTTAATACTCAGGAACACTGTATTCACTTATCAGATAATCTAATATAGAAGCTGTAAGTGATGACAAGCTCCTTAAATAGACGGAAAAGGAAAAATTCCATGTTTAAAACATTTTGAAATGTTGAAAAATATGATGAATTTAAGAAGTCAAAAGGAAAGAGACTGTGGAAATGATAAATCATGTTTCTATAACTGGACTTTAGCCACTTTGGGCAATTTGGGTACTAACTATAAACAAAACTTTATGCATCCCTTTTTTTGCTGCTCTTATCCATCCCATACTCAAATTTAGTAAACTAATGTAACTCACCTCCTAGCCCCACAAATCAAATTCTCAAGGAACGGGAAGCTACTCTTACCTTACCCTAAAGAAGTTCCCCTGTAATTTCTGATATCCTTAATTGTTTTAGTTTTTCTTAAAATCTTCAGCCACAAATAACATGACTGGCCTGTTTCTAGTTTCCTTCTGCATTGATTTAACATCTATCACTTCAATTCATTTGAAAAACAAGGAGTCTTTTATCTTGAGTCCCTATTTACCTCGAAGTATCATGAACATTGATATCACAAGAGAAAACACAAAATTATTTTCTTCACACTGTTACGAATTCAGTCCAGAGGAGGGACAAGTTGCATTTTACTGAAATCTCTATTCATCCAGTGGGTGGGAGGAGGCAGGAGGGAAAGAGAGGAGTTAATTCTTCTCTAAGGATTGAATTCCCTTTGCCTTTTACCAATTTCTCCTCGCAACTCATGCTTTCACATGTTACTTATACTAAAAGCATTGACAAGGGTCAGACTATGAAAAGTTTAACTTAATTTCTTCAATATTGCTTTTAACCTGCCAGTTCCCAGAGACTACCCCAGTAGTTCTTGAATAACTATCATTTTTGGCTAGAGTGAATAACGTATCAACTATTTAATGTCCTCAATTAATAAGATGTCTTCTGGTCTTCTAAAGAATGTTTTCACCCATACAATTCTTTTTTAGGAAAAAAAGAAGCTTCAAATTCCCTTTATGAAAAAAAAATACTCATTAAAAATGAATTTCCAACATCAGATGTCAGAGCAAGGGCAAATGTTCTACTATGACATTTGGTGTAATTCTATTGATCATAGGCCTTTCTCATGGACTAACGAAGCATTCCCTTCAAGGAACAAAACAGGAAATGGCAGATGTTGGATGGAAACTAATATAGGTTTTTTACATGACTCAATTGAGTAACACCTTGGGAAGAGTACTGAAATTTGTCTGCTTGTTTTCACTATTGGTTGCCTTCTTGGTGTTGTTTCTTAGGAGAACTGGTTAACTAACTCATTTTGAAATTCTTAACTCAGTAATTTCTCTTAAAGAGGTCATCTGCTTCTGTCAGTGGCACACACTTTGGGGCGACCCTCTATCTAACGACAGAGGGTGGCCTGGGCTTTTGGGGAGAGGCATGTGCGTTTAATAAAGTGCACCATAACTGCAAGTACACTTCATCTACTAAATCTTTTAAATACATCTAAACTATATTTCTCCTCATTTTCTTTTATCCACAAATATAGTGAGTGTTTTTATCTACCAGTCACAGAAAGATTCACAGTATCTATAACCTGGGGAAGTACTTGGAATACCCTCTCACAAATTAGAACAATAATTTCTGCTCCTAAACTGGAACGTTTATTGCCATCCAAATTCATTTTTAAAATAAATAACAAAATACAGAAAGTGGATATTTAAAAAATATACATGTTGGTTTTATCCAATGCATGAGAAAATCAAAATACATTTCCAATGGAGAAATGCTTTAATGTGTATCTTCTAATATTATATGGGTCTTTATTGAAAAACAAGACTTAACCAACCTCTTGTGAAGTTGGAAGTGTTGTTTCTCTAGAAAATCAAACACACCACCCAGAAAACTGCCACTCTCAGAGTTTTATACTTGAAAGTCTTTGTAATCCATTTCAATGTGGATTGGGTGAGATTAAAAACTACTGATTTATTTAACAGAAATGTATACAACGGCATGACCATCATATTAAACATCTGCTCCAATGTGACTCAGTAGTAGGAGTTAATCACATCTGAAAACCTGAAATTTAAAAAGATATTAGGAACTCAGTTGTAAGTAGAGTTAATTTTAGCACACGATTTAGATTTGGGATTAGAAAATGATTGAAAATAGATGCTTTGAGAAAGAAACAAAGTAAAATTTTTCACTTACACCTTACATAAATTTCAACATTGAAAAGTCAATATAAGATTTCTGACTTCTAAAAAGGGGTCAATGATGCAGGAAAATCAGTGGTTAAGGTGGCAAATACAGCAGGCTTGATCGTGTCAAGGCTCAGGCCACACATTTTCAGAGTAGGGCGTGATGTTGCTTGCGGGGGAATCAAGCCACATTTCACACATGCACGTCAGATTCTGGTAGGTTCTGATAAACACCCGTCCAAGTGAGTCTACCGCTACTTCCCTTCCGCCTCAGCTGAGAAATAGCTTTAACCTTGCTTGTCTCTCATGTGTTTATGGGTGTAAGAAAAAAGTTGAAAATGACTTTATTTAATCTTGAAAGTCAGTTGAGAAAGTAATAGAAATATAAGTTTCCAAATACTTTTCGTAAGTATTTTTCAAGCATGTAGTTTATTTCCTCTTTTTTTTAATAATCACAGTTAAAATATCTATGTGTGGCTGCATTTTTCTACTATTTTATAATGTAATCAGTCTAGGATAGTTGTACTGACCCAGAGAATTTACTAGTCTCACATTTTTTTAACAAAAAATTCTATAGATAAGCAAACATAAATATGAATTTATTAAACTTTCAAACAAATGAAAAGACAAAAATCGTAAAAAATTTGGAGGGTGAGAAAAATATCAAATATAATTAAATATATCAAAGTGTTTTTTTAAACTATGTGTATATGTTTGTAAAGTTAGAGGTGTCCATGCTACCAAATTCCAGGCTTCAACATTAATTTAAATTATTTGTTTTACAAAATGAAATAATTCTGTTCTGACTTCGTGGTTCAAAATCTAGATTGGATGTCTTTCTTCCCCATGCACTCAATTCTGACACGGTTTTAACTGAATTTTACCTACAACCTTTTATTTTTTCCTGGAACATATCAAAATGTTTCCAGATTCGACATTATGCAAGTGAAATGGATACATTTCTAAATTTGCTTATCCCGTTTAGTTTTGACAAATATAAACTTGCTCTCCTACTCTAGGTAACAAGGGCTAGAGAAAAATAAACATTTTAAGACATTGAAAATATTTTATTAATGAAAATGGTGAACTACTTAAAGTATTTAAACTAAATATACGCGATATTTCAATAGGATAATTCCTTAGTTCAATCCTCTAAATAATCCCAAAGTGACATAAATTCCTCTGCAGAATGATTGTCTACAGAGAACAATCCATGGAAGAAGACAGACAAGCCTCTTGTCATTTATAGCCTTAATCCGTTGCCTAGAGCGTGAAAAGTGCTCAGGATAACAAGTGTGGGAATCAGGAAAATCAACATTATTTTTGGATTTTATTTTCTTAACAATACTGACTGGTCAATAGGCTTGTGGAAACTGACAGATACAATATGGTCTGTTTGATGAATCAATCTAGTGAAGCAGTGACAGAATGCCTCCTCCCTTCCTCCATTTCCCCCCTTTAAATCCTCTTCATCTTCTTCCTCCTCCTCCACCTGCTCACACACACACACACACACACACACACACACACACACAGAGCTGCTCGTTCTCTATTGATCTGTAGACATCAGACAATGAAAGCTGTAATGACAATGCTTAGATGATTTTTTATTAGAATACTAAGCCACTTTCAATAAGTGTTTGTTTTTAATTGCGAGACTTACCCTCTCTATATTATTGAAATAGTGCTCTCTCTTCCGTACTTCAAATGTGTATGTTGTATGTGGGATCTGGGTGGGGTGTAGAACAGAGAGAGTTGGGGAGTAAAGAAGGGAAAGTTTTAGATGTTAACTTTTATACATCTCTCCCCATCAAAAGTTCTATAAGGATATCAGCTTTGGGGAAAATTGAAAGAAAATTAGAAGAGGAAATTTAAACATCTCAGACAATACGCCTAGGAAAGAACTAATGTCATTTGTATGATTGCCTGAATACATGCATATGTGTCCACAGAAAATTTAGTAACCCTTCACCAGCTTATGAAGACACACAGATATTCTCTTTATGTTAGTTCTTGACACTCAGCAGGGACTTTTGTGAACTTTGTCATCTTCCTTTGCCCTTTAAACCAAAACTAGGGAAGTGGCTTTAATTAATGAGATGTGATGCATTAAAAATGTTAGCCAGAGCATTCCAGAAGCTGGGAAACCATAGATGTTTTTAAATTCTGAGTATCCTTTTGAGAATCCCAAGTTGTAATTTATAATTCTCAGTGGACCCATATTTGTCTTGAACTGATTGTTGAAACGGGCTTTACTAGGAATTTCTTCACCGAAATTGCAGTGGGGCGGGGGAAGGGGATGGTCGATTCAAGGAGGTTTGTTGGGAAAGGGAATGATCTCTAACAAAGCTTTAAAACCTTCAGTGGTTAAAGTTACATTGATGAAAAGGATATACATATACATGCATAAACCATAAATGTATATGTGTAGATACTTGTACATACACACACACATATAATGCACAAGTTCAAGCAGAATTACATAATGAGCACAGTTGTAAATTATGTAGGTAGCAGAATTCAGATTTTTTTAATCAAAATTGCACCTAAAAATGGCTATAAAACAACGCTTGCCTTGGGAAGTGAATTTATAGCTGCATGCCTTTCACAGGCACGCTGGAGGGTTCTGCTCTCAGCTCTAATCTCTAGGAGATGTTTTTTGCATGTGTTGTGTGACAGGAGGGAAGGGGAGTGGGTTGAGCTCGCCTGTTTTCCCATTGTCAGCCAGTCTAGTGAGCGTTGGGAAAACCTGTCTGTGGGATCTCGTGTCATCTCTCCCTACATGTGTACAGGAAAACTCCGCGCTGCTCACGGTTCCTCCCTCCCTCCCTCTCTCTCTCTTTCTCTCTCTCTCTCTCTCTGTTTCCCTTTCATTCTGCTTCCCCGGAGCCGAATGAAGCAGGGAGCAGGATTAGAGTCCGCCGGCTATCGGAAGAGCCTAGATAAAAAGAACTGCTTCTTAAGCACCACTGCAGCAGCTTTTGTTAATTTTTTTTTTCCACACAACAGTTGTGCCTCATTATCCGGTGCCTGGCTCGATTTTTTTTCTTTTTCTTGGAGGGTTTGAAGTTTCTGTGCTTCAGTGACTGTTTCAGAAGAAGAGGTGTTAGCGTTGCCTTGAGGTCTTGATTGTCTGCATTTATGAATGAAACTGACCTAAATCACCTGTTACCTCCAGTTTCTAGATTGTTTGAACTTCTCTGGCCGCACAATACAGGAGGGAAGACTGAAGCAGCATAAGGACCGCCAGCGGCTGCAGCATGGGCTGCTTCGCTAGGATTGTCTGTCTTTTCTGGGGAGTATTACTTACAGCAAGAGCAAACTATCCAAATGGGAAGAACAATGTGCCAAGGCTGAAATTATCCTACAAAGGTAATTTTTTCTTTTTCTTTTATTTGGCTAGCTTTGTAATGCCCCCCTGCCTGCTGCCTTTTCATTCCTTGAACTCCCTCCCAACCTAAACCATAAAACCTTTAGTTTAACCTGGGAAACCTATGTGATTGTGTGTGTCTTTCTGAGATGATTTAAACACTTTTTTATAAAAGCATGCCTTCAGTTTGATGTATGACAATTTAAATGCAAACAAAGAACATTTAATCACATTTGCAGAGAAGAGCTGAATGCCTGGTAAATGCTGATCGTATATGTGATCACATTCTGTTGATTTTTCTGACTCTACTTCCATTAAAATATTTTTAAAAACTGCTATTGCAAAAATGTTCTCTTTGTGGATGTGAATACCTCACCTATAACAATTGTTATGATAAATTGTATTTTCTTAGTTTTAGACACTAAATGGTTAATTGTCATCATGAATATTCAGTTTGTTCAAATCTGACAATCAGATGCTTAACATAAGCAGTAGATCAGGGTTTGCCAAGAGAATATAAACTGGAGAGAACAGACTAGTTTTTCCACAGTGTGTTATGATTGTACAAAAGACTACGTATGTGGCTAATTGGTGTAAAGCTAAAGCCATGGAAGTATAATGTTATTTAATTCCATATGTGCTTCAGTGAGAACTGAAGAGACATTACTTTCTAGTTGTACAGCTAGTTGTGTAAACTTCTTTTCAAAAAAGGTATAAATTTAAGAAAGAAAAAAGCATTATCACGTGGCTGCTAGTACTTTATTTGGTTACAGTTTAATGTGTATGCTTGTTTTTTAATGAGGATTTAAAAAAAATTTGTTCTATATGTGTTTAGATAGATTTTATTAGATAGGCATATAAAATAATGCTAACATAGATTCCAAAATTATATATATATAAATTTTAATGGAAGAGAATGTTTATATAACTGAGGTATTATGAAAATGGAGTTGAAAATTAAGCAGTTTTAACTCAAGTAGTTTTATTCCCTAAGGTGTTGCTTTCTTATGATTCTCAGATTTCTAGAACTGGGGGTGGGGCAGCAAGAATTTTCAATTATATTCCGTTTTTAGCCTGTAATGTGAAAGAAAATTATTGGATCTATCTGTAGAGATGTCTAATGTACGTTGCTCTTATGCCAGAAAACACATCCTTTAATTTTTACATGATAGGAAACATCTCTTTCTGAATTCTCTAGTGTGAATGAGGACCACAAATAGGAACGAGAGATGTAATTTTCACACTTTGAATTAGAAAATTAAACACCTATTAAATGTGTTTATTTGGATTTAATACTTGTTAGATAAAAATACATTGAATTGGAAAATATATTTATTTTTGATATACTTTCTTTATTACTAAATTGGGAATGGATTTTAAACATTAGCAAACAGAATTGCAATTGTACTCATTATGCAAGATTTTCAAAAATAATCATATAGCATCCATTAAATATTTAATTAAATCTCTATTATGTTTCCCTTAGTAACTGTCTTTAAATTGTTTCCATAGTTTAAGATATTATGGCATCTGTGTTTTTATCAGCTTTTGCTTTCTATTTTCACTCTTTGAGAGGATGCCATCAAATAATTCTTAGGTTGACGGTCCACTTTATCCAAGTTTATATTCCTTATGACTAAGTTTTACATGCAACTTTAGTTGTTCATGATGTGTATGGTTATATGCTATAATGTTAGAATAACAAGTTTGAAACATGAGATACATTTGAAAGATCCACTAGATTTGGAGATACTGTGTAAGCACTAAATAAATTGTAGAGTAAATAAGAATTGAGAGTTATGCTTATTTATTTTATAAGAATTTTATTTCCATGGTGATAGAGTACTGTTCTTTTTAGAAGAGGCACCAGTCCTTTCTATATATTAAACGATAGCATTTAATTAGAATAACGCTTTGTTAGGTATACATGCTTTAAACTTGTCCAATGAAGTAAGATGTATATGTTGACAAAATGTGTATATTTGACACTTTTATAAGCCCTTTTTAGCAATGGTATCCATTAGAATTATTCTGCTTTCCTTTAAATCAAAAGCTGCCCTACAGCTACATAACAATTCTATTGATACACCTAGAGCTGGGCAATTTGGTAAAATAAACTGTGAAATGAACAACAGAAAGAAGAATACAAGGAATGGCCCGAACAATTTTTCTTCTGTCATTTTATTGGTCTGTCATTACCTTTTTGTCTCTACACGTACACTTGTTTTGCCAAAGCAAACGCCTGGCAGCCGATTGTCACTACTTTGTTTCTAAACAATAATAGAGATTTTTTTTTTAGTTACTTCTTTTCCCTCCTTAATCAGATGTCAAACACAGTTAAAACATCCACTGATTTGCCCTTAAAAATATTCCAGCATGATTCATGAAGAGTTAAATCCCTGCCAACCCTAATTTCCCATGGTCACTTGTTTTTAAAGATCCACCATTAACTCTCTCATTGCTCAGGTTGCCAAGACAAAGTTTCTGGCAGTCACTGTGCTTACTTTCTACTTGTCATCTTGCGTGGTAGGAGATGAAAGAGATTTGATATGTTAAATGAGAAGGAAGAAGAACAAGAAGGCAGCCTTTGTAGTGGATGTACATACATATCTAATAAGGTGCCCCTTTACTTTCTAGGAAAAAGGAATTGAATAGATGTTTTCAGGACCATCTGGAGAAGTGATAATATTAGAAAAATGGGGTATGCTTGCTTTTTCTCTGAACCAATCTGATTTAGAATCCTTGTGGGGGAAGCAAATGTGAGAACTCTGTAAATCTCAGCAGTCACACACAAATTATCCTCAAGAAACATTCACTCAGAAATACTTTTGCCTTCCGTAAATATATGTTATATAGCTGAATGTTAAAATGCTTCTTTTCAAAACTGGTGGATAACTGTTTGTTTCCCCTAGAAAACTAGTCAGATTTTGTTTTTCTCATGAAAGACCAGAATTTCATATAATCTTTCTTTTAGAATGTTTGGTACAACGAAGACTTCAGAAAAACCTATGGAAATCACAAGGAAATAAATTAGGTTTGGGGTTTTAAACAAATGACAAATGTTCCGTCACTCAATGTAATGAGCTTTTCCAGGACAGTGTATGCTTCAGTTTTAGTAGAAATCAAAGACACGTGCAGTCTCAATGTGAGGATGATCATATAGATCCAAGAGCTAAATCAATGCCTTTAACTGTAGCTTCATAGGGAGAACTTAGCAAATAGCACTTAAATAAATGGTAGACATTATAGAGGTTTCCTTTTCATACTTTGTAAAGTTTTTTTCCCACAGTCAAGTTGTTTAATCATTGTAAGATGAGATTATTACTTAAATCAAAATTCTCATACACATCTTGCTGATACTAGAATATAATATTTAACTAAAAATTATGAAGTAAAATTTGCAAAAGCTTTTTTATTTGCCATTGCTGAATACATTATTATCACTTCAAAATTTAATTAATATGAATAGGCTTTACTAATTAAACTTGTTGACTTTTCAGAGATTTTCTTTACTGCTACCAAAGCACCAACACACATTCACACATACATACGTATATGTGTATATATATGAATAACAAAACTTCAGGTTAACATTTTATAGTTGAGAAAAGTAATCTTGGCAATCAGGTTGTGAGTTATAATAAAATGCTGTACAAATAAGTTATTAGTTTAAATGACATTCATACTTTAAATTTTACATATATATATTTATATATACACACACACACACACATGCATATATTAGAGTGGGCATGATCTTTGAGTCCCATGAAAAGTTTTCATAGATATCTCAAGTATGCACATAATCGTATAGGATGGAATTTGTCTTATACCAGAAATCTTCTCACAGCTAAAATAGAATGTGTCTATGAAAGGTAGGGGGGATATATGTATATATATATATCTTTTACACAGAGCAAATAAGTTATAAATTCTTTGCAATGCCTTTTCTCCAATAGTCACTTCATATTTGGTGCCAGGTCTTTGACTGCTGATTCTTATTTAATATGGTCCTTTCTTCTCAAATTCTATGAACCTTAAAACTCATATTTTGATTCTGAAATCTTCCATTTAAGCACACTGAAAACTAAAATTTTTTATTCATCTACTCAACATGTATATCCTGGCAAACAAATGAAAAATAAAATAAAACAAAACGCTCAGTCACACATCTTGTGATCCAGTGCTGGTCAGATCAAATGAGGGCTAGTGAAAATCTCCAATTTGCGGCTTTTGTGTTTAAAGCTGCCAACCAGATTGGCCTCTGAAATAATAATTTATGCAGTGTAGACTTTAGCAAGTAAAAAATATCTGAGACCACAAAACCATCTCATGTAAGCCTCTGTCTAACCCACTAACTTTTGATAATGATGTTCAGTTATTACTACCTTAAGTAAACCTGAATACTGACGAGATCACTTTTTCAATTTTAACTTTTTTATGTTGTCATTCTCTTCATATAAATTATTTTCAAGACTCCACTATTGTCAGTGATTGACATACCTGGATATTTAGATAACTAAATAGATGTATAGATCTGATAACTAATTTTTCTTTGTTTTCTTATTTTTAAGTATCGTATGTAAATCAAAAAACATAATCAGCAAATATGTTGTGATTTTTGATCAATTATATTTATATTCTATACTCAAGAATTAATGCAACTCAAAGAGCTTTCAGGTATCAATTTAGCTAGAATTAATTAATATGATTGCATATGTTCCAAATAACAAAACAAAAGTTAACTTGTCAGTAGCAGAGCATAATCTATTTATGCTCAGTGTGCATATGTAATTATATTTCAGATGTGTGCTTTAAGTAACTTAGGAAGTTATCATGATCTTTATGTCAGCTGTAAGAAATTGTGTGGTTTAACTTCCTACTCCAATTTTTCTCACTTAAACTTCAGCAGCACACCTACGTACCACAGTTCCAAAAGTCAAAATATCACACCTTTACATCTTTTGAGGAATTTTAAAATCTAAAGTCAGGACAATTTTAC